TCAAACAACCTAGAATTTCTCGAGGCCTAATAATGACCCAATTTCAAATACTTACAACCCTTGGTGGAGAAATTACCCTAACTTTTATTGGAGGACACATCAACCTAACACACAGTCCCAGCAGTACCATCCATCTAACTCAATGACCCAGCAATTTTAGAGGCCACAAGTGCAGAGCCAATTCCAGTAGACTTACCCTATAGGAACCAGCCGGTCTAACCTTAACAGGTTTTCCCGCAACCTCCTTAGACTAGTACAGTTGATGACAAATGCATGCAAGTTCAGTAGTTGATTCTAACTCAGCAGTAGTCCATTTCTAGATTAAAAAGCCATATAGGACAGCTAGTCGAAGCCAATGCGAGGAGAGAAGTAGGACAACTACCGAGTCAACCGGTTGCGAATCCTAGAAATCAGCCACTGGGTTTTCCTCCACAGCAGATTCAACCACCTCCTAAGAACCCTTAGTTTGAAAATGCCAAGGTTATTATGACCTTAAGGAGTGGGAGGATTTTAGAGGACCCGTATGAGAAAAAGAAATTTGAAAACATTAGTGAAGAAGAAAAGGAGCAAGAAGACCATATGTTGGAGGGGGAAGACAAAGGAAAGGAAAATTTAGAAGAACATATAGTAAACTGACCTGTAGTTCCCTTTCCAACGCACTCACACCCGAGCCGTTGCGAAAGATGAAACAGACTCGCAACGAGGAGATCAGGGAGTTATTCAAGCAATTCCATATTAACATCCCTCTCCTCGATGCGATACAACATGTCCCGGCCTATGCCAAGTTCTTGAAAGAGCTGTGTACTCAAAAGAGGGAGCCACAATCGGTCCCGCAAAAAGTGATGCTCTTTGTAGATGTTAGTGCAGTTCTCCTAAACCAACTCCCCCCCAGAAAATGAAAGATCTTAGTGCTCCTCTAATAAGTTGTGTCATCTCTTGAATCACTTTCGATTGGTCCATATTGGATCTTGGGGCCAGTGTAAACCTGCTCCCCTCTATTATTTATAAAAGGTTCAGGATCGACGAGTTAAAACCTACCCCGGTAATTCTGCAACTCGCTGATCGGTCAGTCAAGACTCCTCAAGGTGTTATTGAGGATGTCATTATCAGAGTAGAGGATTGTTACTTCCCAATGGATTTTATCATCCTAAACATGACCCCAACCGAGGAACTGAACCATAACCCGATAATCTTAGGATGTTCGTTTCTAGCAACTGCTAATGCAAACATCACCTATAAATCGGGAGAAATGAACATTACATTTGGGGAGCAGAAAGTCCGATTAAATGTATTTAGTGCCGCTAGGTATCCAAACCTAGGGGAAGATGAGTTCAAAGTAGATGTAGTGGATGACCTTGTAGATGCCCTGTCTACCCTTTAGTTAGCTCAATCTGAGCCTTGTCTGTGTAAAGAAGAAAGCGAGTCTAGAAGTGTAGATGTGAGAAGTGAGTGAATGCGTCTGGTTGAAGACGTTAAACTTAGCGCTGGTTGGGAGGCAACCCAACGTAGTTTTTAGTTGCTTTTGCTTTTAGGATTAGAGATTTTGTTTTCATGATTCGAGACCAGTTGGCAGACCTTAAACTGTTCCCTTTGGCCGAAGTCCCTTTGTATCATTCTAGTCATGCCATTGGGGACAATGGCATTTAAGTTGGGGGTGAGGAAAGAGAGAGAAAAATTGAAAATAATAATAATAACAATAATAATAATAATAATAATAATAATAATAATAATAATAGAGCTAATATTTTAGAAATGCAGAACTAAAAATTTTACTGAGAAATTTTTAAGTTTTTCCATAAAAAGATATTCCCAAACATAAAATGTTGAGGAAACTGATAGAAAAATATTGAATTTTGTAGAAATTAGTAGCAAGTGATAGGAATCAAAATTGGTCTTATTTGAATATTGTCGAAACCATTTAGAAATTGGAAAATACTCCAAAGTTTGCCTTGATAGGATAAGAAGAGAAAGATTGAGAAATTAGACAATTTCTTCAAGTCATTAGAGACAGTGGACTACCCTGAACAGTGTTTCCAAAAAAAAAAAGAATAAAAGGTCAATGGACACCCTGGACTTAGTAACCGAGTATCTTCACCTAAGTCAAGTGTCGAGATTCACGTTAAACGGAAAAGGGAATGCCAAAGACAATCACCTAACACTTAGTAACCGGGTCTCTTCACCTAAGTCAAGTGTCGAGATTCACGTCAAACGGTGGAAGGTAGCAATAAAAATGTGTGTGCATATCAAGTTCAGGGGTAGAAATCCACTACCAGAAATGATAAGAAGAATACCCGCCTAATTTTAAAAATCAATCTCAACTTATTAAGACAGTCTGCAAATGGAAGGGTATATAAGATTTTTAAGCCAAGTTTCTATAATGTTCAAAGCAGGATGGTTTTACCCCTTAAACCCAATACTGATTTATACAAAGTTTGAGAATTCTAGGATTAGGATACTTGGCTAATTTTGTCAGGGATGATCTTGCAATGGGAATGATCTCTTTACTCAGTGTAATTTTAAGGCTGCATTGCTAAGGGACTAGCATTGGTTAAGTTAGGGGGTGTGATAACTCTGTATTTTGATGCCTTAAGGGTATCATTTTAGGGGTATTTTAGACCTTAGACTGAGTAATTTGTACCCTTTTTTTGGTTAAATTCATTGTTGTGACCTTTGAGGGTCTGTGCAAATTCTGGGTAAAAACTGAGAAATTTATAGAGTTTTCTGTAGATTTTGGGAAGTTGGTGGGAATTCTAGCTGAGAGAGGGGGTGTTTCTGTGAAAACTTGTGCACAGGAGGGCGCCTCCTATCTACTAAACCTAGAAAGACGCCCCTTCTACTGTATTAGCATACTCACCTCTCCTTAGAAAACCCTAGGACGCCTCCCCACTCATTCTTTTTACCTCTAACAAGCCCCAGCCGCCCCTAACTTCTAAATGTTCACCTTTCGCTCCTCCCTAACATCTAATCTCAACCATCCAATCCTTAGCAACCTCTCATACCCTTAGATCTCTCCCTAGACAGCATCCTAGCCTTACACCTCACTCTTTAAACTTCAACCAATCACCTTAGGGCGCTACATCACACCAACCAATCACATTTCTCCAGCTCTAGGCACTCAAATCTCAGCCCTACATAATATTGGGCACCCTTTCCTTCTCTTCTCAGCCTTAGGATCAGCTTAGAACAATCCTAATCCTTCATTCTCAACCCTAAGGTGCTCATATTTCTACAAAAACCCAGTTGTCGCCCCTCTCTTTCTCTCTAATCCCAAACCTATCCTTCCTTCTCTATAAAAAGGACCCAAGGGGTCCTGAGAAGGGGTTGTACTCTGCCCCCCAGGTAAAACGAAAGGTTGTTCTTAAGAAGTTCAAGGGTAGAAGAAGAAGAGAACGCCCATGCAAGAGGAGGGGTTCCTGCTTGTAGTTCGCCTAGCCACTACTGCCACCTTTGGATCCAGATCCCAACCAGTTTCCCATAGTTTTATATTTACTTTTTACGCGCGTTTTTATTTTTCGTTCTTTAATTTCCAGTTTTTATTTTATTTTTGCAATTTATTTTTATCAAATTTAATTTTTGTCTTCCTTTCTGCAGATCTGAAATGACCAGGTAAGACGGAAGGCCCAGTTCAATTAATTAAATTATGTTTTTGCAATCTCAAATCTTGTCATTTTGTCTGGATTGAAGTACATAACAATTTTTCCCTCGCTTCCCTATGGATACGACCCCTTTCTCACCACTAACTGCGTTTTGTAGTTATTTTGAAAGTTGGAAAATTTATAAATATTGAAACTAGTATTCCGAAGTGGTTAACGACACGCTTCCGGACACACCAGATACAAAAAAGAAAACGTTTTAATTTAAAATTAAATTCAAAAAATTGAAGAAACATTTTAAATTAAAAGGTTGTAATTCGGTTAAACCAAAATGATCTAGTGCATCGCATGTACACGCATTCGCACCCACGCTTGCGCCCTCGCCCAAGCGTGGGTGCATGCATTTTAAATTAAAACGTCACTCCTTTCCCAAGCAATGTGGGACAAGGAGTTTCACCGTGCACTCATGAGTGGGAAGAGGAAAAGACAAAAACAAGAGGGAGGAGAGAGATTCTTGAAAATTTGAATCTCCCTCGAACAGGTTTTCGCTAAGAAAGCTATAAATGTCCTAATCTCCTTTTGCATGGAAAAACTTTAGCTATTGCGGGCCAATGGCCAATGCTGTTGAGAAAATTTCTGGAAATACCACATTACCATGAGAATGGGTAAATTAGTAATTACATCTTAATTTATTTTGACTAAAACCAAAGCATGGGCATAAGCTGCTCAAAACATGCCCAACCCAAAAATTGAGACCAACAGCCAAAGTTAAGCCCCTTTTGCATTTCTTTGTGAATCGAGGCTATCACCTCAAGCAAGCACTTAGAGTTTACAAGTCCCCTCATGATCATAGCGCCAAGAGGGAGGACACATCCTCCAAGGGGATCCCAAACTCCCCGAATGCCCCTAGAAAAGTGTGTCTCCTTGAACACCAATGAGCAAGAAGAGGCTCCATGTGCTCAACTCTCCTCTTTTCTGCCATTCCCCTAAAGCAATCTACAACAATAAGCAAACATGGAGAAACTTACAAAACATGGGATTGCTAAGAATCTAGCCTTCCCACTTTATAAACTAGACATTAGACTCCCCACAATGAAAAATTATTTTCTTCTCAAATATGTCATAGAAGTACAGTAAACTAGTCCCTTGTATTGCATAATACTACCCATTTTCCTACCCCATTGAAACTAGAACAGGAGGGGGAAATCCCTTCTTAATCTCTTTACTCTTCAACACCAACGCCTTCCTCAAGAGATGATCAACATCTACATGCCCTAGAGATACCTCAAAAAGGTGAACAACAATAGTAACAACCATGGTTTTTAAAACCAACCCGGAGGCCGAACCGGTCAGGGGTCCGGTTACCGGGTCAAGTGGGAGTCCAGATCTGCTCCTCACTGCTGATAAACCCTATCGAGTATTCCTCCGCTTATTTCTGATTTCCGGTTCTATCCTACTAAGCCCCTGGTAAACCCTAGCGCCCTCCACCAGTTGTACTGTTTTCTCCGACGGACGGTGATTTCACCGACAACAATACGAAGTCTCCTTCCAATCAGAGACGAAACGAGACTGACAACTCTGTCGATTTCTCTTTTCCCGCCTAAACTCTCATCCCTTTTCCTTTTTCACGAAGGACCCAAACTAATAGAAAGCAAACCTACGATTCCTCGTCGTCATTGTCTCGTCTCCACCGTGTCACAAGCCTACGATTCCAACTTGCTCAGTTCTCTGTCTATTCCATCGTCTGTTCGATCGAGATTTATGTACTGATAGATAGGAAAGCTAACCACGACGGATTTTCTTTTTAAATAAAAAATAAAAAATAAATCCCATATCTCTTCTCTCCTCAAGCTCATCATTTCCTTCCTCCCCGCATCGAACCAATCATTTACAATCCCAAAGTGCCAACTTGACCAAGCTTTCTACTACTACCACTTCTCGATTGCTTCGCCAAATTCAACGTTTTCTCGGAACACCAGCCCTAATTTTCCTTCTGAAACTCTTCCTACTTGTCTTGTAATTCTATGGCTCAGCTCTTCAAATCCAGGTGTTGTGGACCTGGACGGATATCGGTGTTGGAGTTGTCCCCTCCGACTCCGTCATTATATCTAACTAGGAACGAAGACGAAGAAGGAGAGGAAGATGATGACGGTGACGATTACTTTTCCAATCCAATATCATCCACTCCGTTGATAATTCCTGCAGGGGGAGAGGGAGGTGCCAGAGATGAGCGTCATCATTTCCCAATTCTGGAAATTTTGCTAGCGGCATTAAAGAAGTCGTTGGTGACATGTAACATGGAGAGGGAGGATATTTGTGCCATGGATGTTATTAGCTGGCCTACCAATGTCAGGCATGTCTCCCACCTTACTTTCGATCACTACAATGGCATTCTCGGTTTACCCGTTGAGTTCGAGACTAATGTCCCTTCTAGGGTCCCCCAGTGCCAGGTTTCACTCTCGTACTCTGTGCCTCTATTTGTTTGCTTCTTATGCTTAAACTCTGCATCTTCTCTTTACAAAAATCCTAAAGTTATAAGTGCGGTGATAAACATTCCATGCTTTTGCTTTATTGTTTCGTCATATTCCAGTAGTTTTTGCCAAAATATTTCCAAACTCTGTAATTTCTCTTTTCTTCTGGTTAGAGTTGTCAGTCTCGTTTCGTCTGTGATCGCAGAAAGACTTTGTATTGTCGCCAGTGAAATCGCTGTCCACCGGAGAAAGCACTACTCAATCGGTGGAAGGCACTAGAATTTAGCAGGAATTTAGGGAAAAGAAATAAGACTTGCTGAGGAAGAATACTCGGTGGCGGGGGTGGGGGCGCTAACGGAATGACGAGAACTTGCGAGGCGCCAGGATTAAAAAAGACGGTCCAAACCGTTCGAATGATTACTCGGGTCAATGGTTTGTTGATCAAAATCAACAGTTTTTTGAGATTTCTAACCGGTTCCTGGTTTTTCCTTTTCAGTCCGACCCTATTTTGAAAACCATGGTAGCAGCAATTGAGGTTAACTTAGTCTCAACCATTCTATCTTTTCTTGTTACTAAAAGCCAAAAATGAAAGTCGTTGCAGATAAAGAACTAGAAGCAATAATGGAGATGAAGAAGATGAAAAGGCTAACAACTTTTTCAAATAGATGGGTGGTTTTCTTAACCCCCAAATTGTTTAATAAGCCGTATAGCACCACGTGTCACTTTGACACAATAACCGCACCTATGACTGCAATGGTCTGTTTGCTTACTGACAGAATTACTTCTATCGGTAAGTAGGGACTACATTAGGATAGGTAATTTATAAATTGACCAGACTTATTTTTTCCAACACAATAATAGGTCATGCTTATTGACAAAATTATTTCTATTAATAACAACCAATGGACTAATTTAAGTACATAGATTTAGATATCATGGAAATTGCGATGGAGGCCATGTAAACACATCACCATCACCATAGTGTTTTTAAATCACAGTATCAGACCCAAATTCGCACACAGCAATTCTGCTTTGCAAAAACCGCAAAATCACAACAGGTGTTTTACCCTGCGATATCTAACAGCGTCTCACCATCACATCCGGACCTGTTTACGGACCGGGTTTTGGGCCCAATTTTATACTGTTTCAAGTTCGGGCTTCGGGCCAGGCCCATTAAAATTTTAACAAAAGCTAAACCCGAACTCTACCCATCAACAGATCTAATCACATCGCAAGCACATTAGTCTAAGGCTTAAAAACCCCATCACTTGAATCTTGTCCCGCAATTTGACATAATATCATAGCAACCTCCTCCATTGCAATGGCATCCCACCTTAACATCAAATGGCAGAACCGTAATAACACAACCTTTAGGCGTTAAAAGAAAAACAAACCCTTGTAATTCTCACATACAGATCCCAAGAATAAGGGTGATAACCCAAACCCCTGGATCTTTGTATAGACACGTTGCGACACCCCACTCGGCTTGTTCGTTTTGGATCTAACAAAATAACAAACATTCCCACTTGCAAAAGTTTCTCTCCTTTACACCCCTTGCGTCTATAAATACAAAAGGTTTGAGCCTTGAGGCTCTTATGACTTTAGTCTTCTAGATCTCCTGCATAAATTATTCTCAACTGAAACCCTAACCTCCCTCAAGCCTAAAACTACTTTCCTTCTTCCTCCTCTAAGAGACTACTATCTTTCAAGTAGACCATTTTATTGTCTTGTCCTCCCTGCCTACACCTATGATGACATAACAAACATTCTCATACAAAAGCCCATCAAGCTTGAACTGTAGCCAAGCACAAATCCACCGTACCTTATACTAAAATTTAATTAATTATAATGGGACAAAAAGGATCAAACACTAGATCACTTGGTTAAATAGGCTTTGATACCAAGAAGAAAACTAAACTAGCAGTATGTGTTGTGTTTTTAACCAAGAAAACCAACAAAAGAAAATAAAGAAGATTAAAGGAAGAAGAGAAGATGAAAAAGGAGAAGAGTCAAATTGTACTCTTATCTCCAACCCCTAATTAATTTTATTAATCCTGATTAGAAACAATGGGGTAATTACGTTACATGAATACCCTTAATATGGTCGCTGCCTATAAACCAAGGTTCAAAGTATCGATACATATCGGCCCGTATCGACCAATATGTATCGTTCTGGGAGCTCCCCAATACGCCCCTATAATGGGTTTATCGGGCTTCTGACCAGTTCAGCTTAAACCAGCCCCCCCC